GCCCGATGCGGGACTCGATCCCGGGACTCCAGGATCATGACCTGAGCCGAAGGCAGTCGCTTAACCAACTGAGCCACCCAGGCCCCCTAAATAAATAAAATCTTTAAAAAAAAAAAAAAAGACTTCTTAAAATTTAACTCCAACGATAATAAACAAGCCACCTTAAAAAGTATATATGTTTTCTATGTTATATTTCTCCAAAAATTAAACTAAAAAAGACCCGATTCCCCAGAGTCCAGAATAGAATGAAAAACTGGAAAAATCTTAAACCATTAAATTAGTTTCACTCCAAGTCCAATTAAGTGCTCCAAAGAGGAAGAGCCAACTCAAGTTGAATTAAGACATAATGTAGATTCCTTTTGTTAATTAATCAATCCTCAAGGGAACACAAAGAATTACCAGTTTATTCAGTTTCAAACTGAAAGAAGGAGGTTAGTCCAGATTAGAGTGTCTGAATTCTTCCAGTTCTATTATCGTATGAAAACAACTTAGAATATTTAGGAGGAATAGTAAGTCCAGCCATTAAAAAGAGAGCTAACAAAGAACATCATGATCTTAAAAATACTTTATGACAAAATTCTACCTTTAGGGGAATACCTTGCATGTAGTAGATTGTATTAAGTATTATAACAGTCTAAATCAAAAGAATTTTTAAATTGTTCTAAAATATTTGTTACTAAAAACAAAAGCAGCCATGTAAAATGTTTTCAAAGAACATTTAATGACATGGTAAAATGTTTACACTATTAATGTAATAATCTTACATACACAGAAAAAAAGATAAAATATATAAAACAAAATGTAAATAATAGTTCTATTTTAAAGAATGTATTTACGCATTATTTTCAGGAATCAGAGTAAAATGAGGTACACATGGAATTTCATAAGAACCAAGTGTTTCCTTACTTCTTCCAAATTATTCTTTTCAACCAATTTCCATCTCAGTCGAGCTTTTAAGTTTTTCAATGTCTTTTTAATGGACAGCAAGTGATCCACATTGGGGTTCTTATTTAAACATTCGATAATCTGCTTCTTAAACTAAGTAAGAAAAAAAGTTGTTATATTTTCAAAGCATAGACAACAATATTTATTGAAGTCACTTACTGACCATTGCTTATTTCTCTACTAAGATTCAACTAGTATTTACTAAGTTCAGATTAAAATAAGAAATTCCACAATTTTGAAAAAGACAATCTACTAACTGATTTCTTAGTTATCCACATTTCTATCCAGGAGAATATGAGTCCCAGCAATCAGAGTAGCAAAGGTAAGAAAAATATTTCAAGCTGAGAGCTACAGTGAGACATCTTTGCTAGGTACGATGCAAACTGAATTTCTAGTGAGGATATAAACTAAAATTACCTTCCCCAAAGTAGTGTGACAATATGTTACCAATTTTTAAGAATGTTGATTCCTTTTGACTTAGTAATTAACAATTTTTAGGAATCTATCTGAGGAACACACAAAATTATGCACAAAGATTATGTACAGTATTGTTTATGGCTAAAAATAAAGAGAAGTAACCTTAACATCTAACACAGATGAATGTTAAATAATATTGTACATCTATGCAAGTGATGATGCTTTAGTTGCTCAAAATGACAGTATAGAAGAATCATTAATTACATGAGGCAGTATTCATAATATACCATTAAATGAAGAAACATTTTCAAAACAGTTTACAAAACAATGCAATGCACATGATATATGTACATATATATAAGTCACCATACAAAAAGAAAATACTCTGAAACTAGCCCTAAGTATCTATCTCTTAGGCTAAGGGGATTATAATCAATGTTTTTATTTCTTATCTTCCTGTATTTAGCAAATTTTCTACTGTAAACCTGTACAGGCATAAAGATAATGATGGTAGAGATTAGGTTTTATTTTTTTTTAAGATCTATTTATTTATTTTAGAGAAAGAGAGAGCATGAGCAGGAGGGGCAAAGGGAGAGGGAGAGAGAATCCCAAGCAGACTCTGTGCTGAGAGCAAAGCCCAATGTGGAGGGGTTCCATGCTATGACTCTGAAATCATGACCCAAGCCGAAACCAAGAGTCAGACACTCATCTGACTGCGCCACCCAGGTGCTCCAGTAAAGGTTAGGTTTTGAAGAACTCAAGGAAATCAAGGATTTAAGACAATCCAAAACTTCAACATATTTTTATCAATTAAACCACTATTTTCACTGTAGGGTGAATTTAATTACACACCAGCTAACTATACTGTTTTTCTAGCAATAATAATTAGTTACCTATACACTGGATATTAAACTACTTAAGAAAAATTTAAGTATTAAAAAATTCAAAGGATCAATATAGAAGACCAAAAAAATAAAGCATAATCTAACCTCAATACTGTCCTCATACTTGGATTGTATTGTAGTAATAAGCCTTTCCTCTGAACGGATCTTTTGTAGTACTTGACTATATGTATTTAAAATGATCTCCTTGTCTGCATCACCTTGCTCCTAAGTGAAATAAATCATACACATAGAATTATTCACAAAAGAGTATCCAAAATAATTTAAACCTCCAATAACAATGAATAGACTTTAAAATAATGCCTTTAAAAATTCTATTTTTTTCAAAATATTTCTTAAATATGTATCTTTTTCGAGACAGAAGAGAGACTGATATCAAAGATGTTCATGTAGAAAATTCTGCTCCCATCACATTATTATTCCTACAGCTTTCTAGATTACTGTTAAAGGAAATCAAGGATACCACTACACTAAATTTAAGAACTAAACAACACATAGAATTTCAACACTTTACTTTTAGAAATCATTAACAACCACTTCTAAAATCAAGTCTGACAAAGAGGTACAAACTTCCATTTATAGAATAAATAAGTCATGGAGATGAAAAGTACAGCATAGAGAACATAGTCAATAATATTGTAATAAACAGTCTTGCAAGGTGACTGACACTGACTAAGATTATCCTGGTGAACACTGAGTAATGTATAGAAATGTCAAATTACTATGTTATACACCTGAAATTAACGTAACACTGTATGTTAATCATACTTCAGCAATAAAATAAAGTCTGACTAAACCATCTAAATACTATTAAAAATAGACTTTAAAAATAAGGAAATACAGGAACGTATTTTTCAATGCCAACCTGAAAAAACAGCAAAAGGTAAAAAGAAACAAGTAAAAGGAAAAACATAACCAATGAGACTTTGGTAAACAGCCTGAAAAACTGGGAAAGAGTCCCAGTGAGCAATAACAACATTATGAAATGCTCTTTTGAAGAGCTACACTAATTTTTAACTTGGCATGACGATAGGGAACATACACAGAACAGAAAGGGAGCTACTAATCATTCTTGTATATACACTTCCAGAGCTCTCCCAGATTTTATTTTAATTTTTCACAAATTCTAAAGTCTTTTCTTACAGTCATTGGGTATGATGGACTCAAGAATCAAATGACACAGAAAGCTGATACACTCAGATTAAGAGGAGTTTTCCTAGAATTAAACATTAGATTTTATTTTTTTAATGTGAAATGTCCTATTAAAATGAAAATATCAGGAGATGGGTATTAAGGAGGGCACTTGTTATGATGAGCACTGGGTGTTATATGTAAGTGATGAATCACTAAATTCTACTCCTGTAAGCAATATTACACTATATGCTAACTACCTAGAATTTGAATAAAAATTTGGAAGAGAAAAAAAAGAAAGTACACATCATTTAACAAAGTGATGGTTACCAGAAGGGAAGGGGGTGGGAGGGTGGATTAAATAGGTGATGGGAATTAAGGAGTGCACTTGTCAAGATGAGCACAGGATGATGTACAGTAGTGCTGAATTAACTGTACTGTACACCTGAAACTAATATAACCCTGTATGTTAGCTAACAGGCATTAAAATAAAAACTTAAAAAAAAATGAAATTATCACTCTGTGGAAGAATAAAAATTTGCATTGTGTTTGGATTAGAACTTGACAACGTTACTATTTCAAATAGGTCTGTAAGAGGAAAACTAAGATCAGTCTTCATACTTTCTAATTAGCAAGAAAAACCATATTGCTTCAAAGGAAGCAGTAATAAAGAATATCAACTCACAATCAGAGATATCTCCAGCTCTTTGCAGACACTTGACTCAGTCTTCTCTAGAATTTCATCAAGACTACTGATTGTGTCTTCAGAAGTTCGTGACTCTTCCACAGAGAGATCAAAAGCCTCATTTGCAAAAAATTAAAACATGAAAGTATCTCATTTAATTCAATTAGTATTGTGTCCTTATACCTAGAGCAAAGCATTAGCCTATGCACTGGGCAATGTGGGGGAAGTAAGGATACACAAGAAAGATAAAGTACTGCCCTCCCAAAACTTACACATCAAAAAAGAAAAAGCACACACATATCACACACATAAAACACAGATTTTTTAACATAATCTGTGGTTAAGAGACATAAGAGGAAAAGTATGAAAAAAAACCAACAAAACAGAAACAAGACCAAGACTTTGTGAGGACAGTAAAAGAAGCGGTCTGACTAAAAGCTGGTAAGAACCTTAAATGCTTAGGTGAAAAGTTTAAATCTGATAGGTAGTAGGCAGACAATGTCAGCTCTTTAATAAAAAATACCAGGTATATGATTATACCTGGTATTTAGTGATGACCTACTAAGTATTTAGGAATCTGGAGATTAAAAATTAAAGATTAAACCCAGATGACTTCCATCTCTTTAGGAAAACAAAGGTATTTTCTACCAGGATACAGACTTTATAATAAAGTGTTAAATAGAATAAAATCATGGGCCCAAATTATAATACAGAACATAAAAGTCATAAGCAATCACTTTGATTTCAGAGATTAGATATGTGATTATGGAAATCTGGATTTGGGAAACAGCTATGGAAATGAAAGAAAAGGATACATGATAGTTAACCTAAGCAGAAAAACATTCTGATCAATAACAAAAGACAACAAAAAATAACTTAGTTAATATATCCATTAAAAAGTACCAAAATGAAGAGTTCTGGAGGTAGCTGGGAGATTAAAGACTTTTTTTCCCCAAAACAAAGCTAGAAATGCATATATGTAAGTCATTCACACAGATAAATGACACCTTGGGTGTCTCTTGCCCTTGCTGAGAAGGTTGTAAAACAGAGAGAAGAACAGAGAAAACAGAATCAGTAACAAAATGAGGCTGAAATTTAATTAGGGTTCCAAGTATATTAACACAACACTACATGCCCCTACAGCTTTTGAAAAATTACATGGTGTTTTTAAAATAATAAATAAGAATAAATAAGAACTAATAAGAATAATACACAAAATATCATTTCTAATATCTAGTATCAACCGAGACTAGTATTCTCCATTTGTTATATATCTTTAAGATATTTAAGATATCTAAAACTTAAAAGACTTAAACACTGTCAATTAACATATTTTCAGCATGAGTAGTTAGCCAACTAATGTTAAAACACACGTCTCACTAAAAAAGAAACTAAACAAAGAAGAAAGCTCTACTACCATCTAAAGCACATGTATATACAGTAAGACCCTTATCTCTGCACTATAGCTATAGAAAATACACTAGACTTGTAATAAATTCCAGTGATACTATCTTATACCTACAATGGTTTATGAAGCTATTTTTCATATGTTCCTAGAGAATACAAATATGTAAATCCTTCACTCCTCCATCCCAGCCCTCTTCCCCTCAATCCCTCTCTTCCTCTTCCTTTCTTCTCCTCAGAAAAGAAGTAAATTATACTTGGAAAATTATTAAAAAACCCATATTCCCTGGGCCAACAACACTACAACACCAACAACACCACTGGGCAAGAGCTCTTATTACCTTTACAGTGTTCTGGAACCATGCTACAAGACGTTGTAGAGAAACCTCTGTTTCACTTCTAACATTGGTGAACTCCTCTCTTTTATCACACTTCCAGTCATAAAATTTCTTAAGTATTTCTTCAGAGTTTGTCCCTTCTTTGGCCTGTCCATATGCTGCCTCTAAAGAGGTTGACAAATCCTACAGAAACATATTTCTGTTTATGAACTTCATATTAGGATTCAAGCAGCATCTTAAAATCTATGAGACAGAAAAGTAGTATGTTGAGGGGCGCCTGAGGGCTCAGTCAGTTAAGCATCTGCCTTCGGCTCAGGTCATGATCCCAGGGTCCTGGGATCAAGCCCCACGTTGGGCTCCCTGCTCAGCAGGGAGCCTGCTTCTCCCTCTCGCTCTGCCTACTGTGCTCTCTGTCAAATGAATAAATTTTTTTTAAAAAGTAGTATGTTGAATCCCTATCCTTAACAATCTTATAAATAAAACTTAGAAACATTAGATATGAAAATATAAAACTACCCAGAAGGCAATTTATTTGGACTATAATAGTAAAAGTTAGACAAATAATTCCAATTAAGGAAGACACTGAACATATATATGAACTTAAAAAGCATTTTAGAAAGGACTAGAAGAGATAAGACAGCCTAGTAGCTCTCTCTAGGAATAAAACTCCAGAAATGTCACTGTGACAGAGGAAAGCTTAAAAATATCCCAGAAATTTTTATCACAAAACTTTAAGATACCTTTGGAAAGACAGAAGATAGTTGGTGCTTAGCAATGAGCAAGTCACTGCAAAGCTGAAGAAGGCTTGTACCACAGCAGAAAACAGCATGTGGGAAAAGAGAACCTTCTTCATATGCCCTTCTCTCTCACACTGTAAAGCAGTAGCACAAAGCAAGAGGCAATGGTTTATATAAGTACAGTACAGGAACCTAGATGAGGCAAAAACTGATAACCGGTACGAAAAGTTGGTTATCTCCTAAGCATTTTCTTTTCTTCCCTTTTCCCCTGAATACCAGGTAGCATTTACACCCAAGGGTAGTAGCCCCTGAAAAAGAGTAGTGGCTGAGGCAGAGAGACTGGGAGGTCCACTGAAGATCATCTAGAAGAAAAGTCTACAGGAAGTAGTTGAGCCCAAAATGTAACCCTAGAAGCTCTGAGAAATAACCTCATCCTATTCCCTAAACCCACCTGAAGTCTTTGAAGTTACATTCCAAGCTTTCATCCCACCCTATCCCATACCTACACAACAGCGCAGAACTAAGACAGCTTATAGTTCTCCAAGGGAATAAGAGATCTTTGAGGGGAGATACAGAGGAGGATGAAATGTGTGACTAACAGAACTCTGAATGGAATGTAACAAACTAAGGCACCTTATAAAAAAGGAAGCAAAAATCAAGAACTTGAAATAAGCATAACAAATACTCTCAACAAAAAGAAAGAATACTGAAAACACAAAGCAAAACCAAGTACTTATAAACAATAACCAAATGAAGTTATTAGGTATAAAAGAAATAATCTTTGAAATAAAGAACACAATGCATTCACTACGGCAAAAAGGATACAGCTAGAGAACCATTTAGTGAGCTAGATGGTTAAGTCAAGGATTCTTCAGATCCCCCCAAAAAAGACACAGAAAAGGATAAGACAGAAAAAAAATGGATTAACAATTAAAATATGTAGAGGATAGAAGAAATTTAAATGTCCATCTAACAGAAGTCCCAAGATAAGAGAAAAAGTAAAGGGGTGGGGGGGAAGAAGGGATAATATCTTAAGAAATAATTATCAAATATTCCCTAGAGTTAAAGAAAGATATAAAATCTCAGACTGAATTGACTCAGATTAAATCTAAACTTTAGTGCAACTTAGGAACAAAGTCAAGAGAAAATACTAAAGTTTCCAGTGGAGAGAAAAGGTCACAGAAGAACAAAAATCAGACTGATAACAACTATGGGAATAAAAAGACAATGGATTATTACTGTCAAAAGTTGAAAGAAAAATGGACTTTGGACCTAATATTTTATAGCCAATGAAACAAATGTTTAAAGTGCTTAAATGCAAGCAATTGTTTAAATGTTTAAATAAGATATCCTGAGACAGGGATGCCTGGGTGGCTCAACTGGTTAAGCATCTGCCTTCAGCTCAGGTCATGATCTCAGGGTCCTGGGATCAAGCCCCGCACTGGGCTCCTTGCTCAGCAGGGAGCCTGTTTCTCCCTCTCCCTCTGCTGCTCCCCCCTCTCCCCCTGCTTGTGTGCTCTCTCTGTCAAATATATAAATAAAACCTTAAAAAAATAAAAATTAAAAATAAAGAGAGGGGGAAAAAAGAAAAGATAAACAAAGCAAATAATAATAAAAAAATAGGTAGAAAAGGAATTTTTAAAGGAAACAATATTTTAATACTATAAAAGGAAAAATAAGGTTACATAAGGGTTAAAAAAAATACAGTTTAAAATACGTGACAATCAATAAATACATTAACACCCAACAATACAGCACTGAAATTTTTTTTAACAACTTAAAGAACTAGAATATATAACAAAAATATCTCAAAACTGATAAACTGATTAGACCAAAAACTAAGCAAAGATACAGAAGATTAAGGGTTAAAATAATAGCTATAAATCAGGAACTGTACACCAAGAACACCCGAAATGTACTTTCTTTTTTAACTTATAAGGAACAGTCATGAACAATCAACCATATACGTTAGACCACAAAAGAAGTCTCAATAACTGTTGAGGAAATCAGAAATCATGAACTTTAATTTCTTTGACCTCCATTATTAAAGTTAAGTTTTACTTCTTCAGTACTTGAAGACTATAAGTAAATATCAAACTACCTCACCAAAATAGAGAGAAGTTCAAATAACATTCTGGTGACCGGGGCGAATAGTAGAAAGGGAAACAAACCAGATACAGCAAAAAGTCTCTTAAGATTAAACTTTAAGAAGAAAAGAGTTTTTAAAACAATCTCGGTTCCAGGGGCTCCTGGGTGGCTCAGTCGTTGGGCGTCTGCCTTCAGCTCAGGTCATGGTCCCAGGGTCCTGGGATCGAGCCCCACATCAGGCTCTCTGCTCGGCAGGAAGCCTGATTCTCCCTCTCCCACTCCCCCTGCTTGTGTTCCCTCTCTTGCTGTCTCTCTCTCTGTCAAATAAATAAATAAAATCTTTAAAAAAAAAAAATCTCGGTAGCAAACCTATGTTTACTAACAGTTCATGAGAAGAAATAAGCCTTTACAGGATAAAGTAAAAATTGCACTGTAGACAGGTACATTCTTACTACACCATTCCCCTTTTGTATGCAAAGGTTACTTCATTATTCTGGAAGAACTTATACTATACATGGTATCATCTAAACTACATCTTCCTCCAGGCAGACAGAAAGAGACAGTGCCCAGATGTCCCTGAATATCCTTTTCTCCAACTCTCTAGCAAACACATTCCCTGCAGTCCAAAATAAGTCAAGGATGCCAACTAGCACAGCCACGATTTAACCTGTTCTAAAGATGCTGACCAAAGCAGTAAAAGTTCAAAGATACATAAAAGAAGATGAAGAGGGTTATTGTTTTCAAATGATATGACCATAAAGAAAGTTCAAAGAATATTAATAGAGAAATGAGAACTAAAACAGTTCAGGAGAGTTGCCAGAGACATCAATATATAAAAATCAACAGTAAAAAAATAATAAATAAATAAAAATCAACAGTATTCTGCTACACCACCAAAAATAACTAAGAAATGGAAAGTAAGATAATATCCACAAAAGCAACCAAACGTATACATACCTTGGAGTTAAATGAAGAAATGCCAGAGGGCTTTTAGAGAAAAATTTTAAACATCATTAAAGGACATTAAAAAAAGATCTGAATAAGTGAAGAGAAAAATTACGTTAATAAGTGGAATGTTCCATAACACTGCCACATATGCCCGTTCACTCCAAATTAAAGTCATTGCTGAGATGACAGGATAAAGCTGAAGACAAGGTTCCATAACATCCTATAGCTATTGTAGTCTAGCCCCTGATCCTGGATCAGGACTCCTCTCCTAAACTCTTGACATGTGACCCTACCAGATTTTCTGCTAGAATGCAACAGACAACAGGGACTCACATGCCCGCTACTGCTTCTGTCTCCATGAGTTTTCCCAGTGAATGTCACTCTAGCAAGCCTGATGTGTCCGACCATTTTACCTTATTTGCAGGATACACAAATATACATAAACATATTTAATAGACTGAAGTAACACTTCAATTCTATTAAAAAGAAATTAGAATTCATCAAAGAGAAGAAAAATTTTTGCAGCCATCAGTACTATCTGAACTCTCAAAATAAATGCCAATTTCACCTCTCAAATGATAAACATATTTTTTTGATAAACATATTTTAATGTACATATATCTTTTCAAATTCTAACCTGCAATGTTGTCAAGCGTTTATTAAGAGGTAACTCATCTACTTCCAGAATAAAAACTTCTACTGCCATGTTCAGTTTCTGTTGCACTTCATTTCTTTTGGCAATCAAAATATTTCCTTCATTCTGGAGAAAGAAAACAAAGAATAACCATCATTAATACACCAGGTGGTTTTTTTTTTTTTTACACACTGACCTATGTCAAAAAAAAATTGATGTCTTGGGCGCCTGGGTGGCTCAGTTGGTTAAGCGACTGCCTTCAGCTCAGGTCATGATCCTGGAGTCCCTGGATCGAGTCCCGCATCGGGCTCCCTGCTCGGCGGGGGGTCTGCTTCTCCCTCTGACCCTCCCCCCTCTCATGTGCTCTCTCTCATTCTCTCTCTCTCAAATAAATAAAATCTTTAAAAAAAAAAAACTGATGTCTTAAAGTGAGTAAAATTTAACATTACATTCTCCAAACATAGTAGTTTTTAAGACAAATATCCCTCTCCTGAAATCACCCAACTCACAAAGAGCTTTCTTTCCCTTAATTAGAGATAAGACATTTAATAATCCTGCTCTAATTTTTCCTATTATATGTACAACACTGAAATTTTTGTTTTTCTTTCTTTTTTTTTTTTTTTAAGATTTTATTTATTTATTTGAGAGAGAGAGAATGAGAGACAGAGAGCACAAGAGGGAAGAGGGCAGAGGGAGAAGCAGACCCCCTGCTGAGCAGGGAGCCCGATGCGGGACTCGATCCCGGGACTCCAGGATCATGACCCGAGCCGAAGGCAGTCGCTTAACCAACTGAGCCACCCAGGCGCCCTGAAATTTTTTTTTTCTTAAGAAAATTATACAAGTTCCTATTATTATTTACACACTACCTCCCTCCTACTCCCGTTCCACCCTCAATTCCTTCATCTACTTATCCTTCAAGATTCAGTTAATCTCCACCATGGTAAAACCTCCAGTTAGTCTAAGAGGCTATGTTTGGAAATAGGCATATAAGAGAGATCCAAGAACTCTATGCATTATCTCTATTACAGTACTTATCAAGCTATATTGAAACTATTTATATGTATATCCCATACCCAAGAGAGAGGATCATGTCTTAAACAAATTTGTGTCTCTGCTACCTATAACAGGTCTGCCACATACACTTAAAAGGTTGAATTTCAGAATATTCTTTGTTGTGTAAGCTCAACCAGACCATTTTGTAACTATGTAGAAAAAAGAAAAGAATCCCTTCACCAAAAAAATACATGGCAATCAAGTTAAGGTACTGTGCAAAATACATAAATGAAAATAATACTAAGACCTAAATTAAGTTCAATAAGGGAAATAAAATGGTGGGGCACCTGGGTAGCTCAGTCAGTTAAGTGTCCACCTCTTGATTTAAGCTCAGGTCATGATGTCAGGGTTGTGAGATCAGGCTCTGCACTAGGCATGGAGCCTGCTTAAGGTTCTCTCTCCCTCTCCCTCTGCCCCTCCTCACCCCCTCTTTAAAAAAAAAAAAAAAAAAAGGCAACTCTGAGCAGCAGTTATAACTGCTGTTATTCAATAATCCACTCTTCAGTCTATCAAATGAACTTTAGGGCAATGAAGCCTAAAATTAAGCCCTGAAACGTTAGCAGTCAGCAGAAACAAATACCTGCTTAAAAAAAAAAAAAAAATCACATGGGCACCTGGCTGGCTCAATCTGGAGAGCATATGACTCTTGATCTCTGGGTCATGAGTTCAAGCTCCACATTAAGTGTAGAGATTACTTAAATAATTTTTTTTTTTTAAATCTACTAGAGGGGCGCCTGGGTGGCTCAGTCGGTTAAGAGTCTGCCTTCACCTCAGGTCATGATCCCAGGGTCCTGGGATCAAGCCCCACATCAGGCTCTCTGCTCAGCGGGAAGCCTACCTCTCCCTCTCCCTCTGCCTGCCACTCCGCCTGCTTATGCTCTCTCTGTCAAATAAATAAAATCTGTTTAAAAAATATTTTTTTGAAGTAGTGTTCCACGATTGTTTGCGTTTAACACCCAGCGCTCCACGCAACACATGCCCTCCTTAATACCCATCACCAGGCTAACCCATCCCCCCACCCCCCTCCCCTTTAAAACCCTCAGTTTGTTTCTCAGAGTCCATAGTCTCTCATGGTTCATCTCCCCCTCCAATTTCCCCCCCTTCATTTTTCCCTTCCTTCTCCTAATGTTCTCCATGCTATTCTTTATGTTCCATAAATACATGAAACCATACGATAATTTACTTTCTCTGCTTGACTTATTTCACTTAACGTAATCTCCTCCAGTCCCATCCATGTTGATGCGAAAGTTGGGTATTCATCCTTTTTGATGGCTGAGTAATATTCCATTGTATATATGGACCACATCTTCTTTATCCATTCGTCTGTTGAAGGGCATCTCGGCTCTTTCCACAGTTTGGCTATTGCAGACATCGCTGCTATGAACACTAGGGTGCATATGCCCCTTCTTTTCACTACATCTGTGTCTTTGGGGTAAACACCGAGTAGTGCAATTGCTGGATCATAGGGTAGCTCTATTTTTAATCTTTTGAGGAACCTCCACACTGTTTTCCAAAGTGGCTGTACCAACCTGCATTCCCAACAGTGTAAGAGGGTTCCCCTTTCTCCACAACCTCTCCAACATTTGTTGTTTCTTGTCTTGTCAATTTTTGCCATTCTAACTGGGGTAAGGTGGTATCTCAATGTGGTTTTGATTTGAATTTCCCTGATGGCTAATGATGAAAAAAATCTACTAGAATACCAAGCCTTGGAACTATGTTAAGCCCTCTCCCTCTCTGTCCTGAATCACTTTCCTATGCTCAAACCATAAAAACAACAAAACAAAAATTAAAATGCAGTTCTTTTTCATCTTATTACATGAAAATACATCATGAATTACTTTAATATTGACAATACAGTTTAAATGGAAAGAGAATACACTTTGCAGTCAGACATACCTAGGTTCAAATACCATATTAACATTTAGCACTATGTAGTCTTCAGCAAATTCCTTAAAACCTGTAGGACTCAATTTCCTCATTTATAAAATAAGAGCAAAACTGTCCATTTTAAAATATAAGAAAAAGTTTATAAAGTACCTAATAACATTACCTGTGTCTCATATAGATTCAAAACTTACGGCTTCTGTCACTTTTTTCTTACATAATCAGAAATAATCAGTTAGGGTCTAACATGTAAAATGACACAAATATAATCCCTTCTCCAAATTTAACACTCCTGGCATTTACAAAGGCCTAGTTATTCTGTTCACTCCTCACTTAGAGTCAGCTAGGTTGCCAACTAAGCAACCTAGGTATGAACTGAGAATAAGGCTTTCGGGGTACAATCCCCAGAGGTAGAAACCACCAATAATTCAATGGGGCAACTCCAAACACAAGTACAGAACTCATAGGTACTATGGAAAGCTATGATTGTGGTAAGTATCTTTATATGAAAAACAAGGAGTTCTGTTCAGCTCAATATAAACTAAAAATTGTGAGAGGAAATATACTTGTACCTATGCTAATAAAGATTTCATAGGAAATAATCTGTTCTTCATACCCTCCCCCACCCATTAATAACCACCTCTCAATAATGGGTGGCTTAAATAGCATTTAATAGTAAGGCAGAGTCCAATACTGCAGCATAAAACGCACCATTCAAACCCAAAAACAAGACACATTAGCAGGTATCACAGCCACCCTAGCTTATAAGCTTCATCCCCCTCAAAAGCCACCATCTTTTATAGGCATAGCTTCCAAAGTTCCTCAAGGATGGTATGCCCAGTTGCAAGAGCCCCCACCAAGTATTTGTAGTTTAAAGTTTCTCAAGTCCAGATATAAATTATCAACTAGGGAGATTTACCTAGCCAATGCTGCCTAGTAACATGACTGAAATACCATTTTACCAAATTACCAAGGGAAAAGAGAAGGAATTGACCGATGTTCAATTGTTCATGCAAAAGGGGAAAAGATTTTGTTAACACTTTATCCACAATCACCATTTATCTATCCTATCTTTTTTTAACAAGGCAATAAAATTAGGAATCAAATTATTAATATGAAGATGCTGTAAAAACTAAATATTTCATACAAAGTATTACTATAATGTCTACAATCCTTCTTTCTCAAATGATATCCCTTATGATCAATAAATAAAACCATAACAGAGAAAAATTCTTGACCCACCACATTTTCACAAGTTCGTATGTTCTCCTGAGCAAGATTGTATTCTGCCCAAATTCTCTCTAATTCAGTCAAAGAAGCTGGGGTAGTAAAGCACTCTTCATCTAACACTTGCATAGCATCTGAAAGGTCATTTCCAAAATGAACATTGATGTTGACACGTCTATTTAAAAACATAAGCAAAAAGGAAAAGATCAAGAAATTTGCAAGTTGATGTGAGAAAAAGTTGCACTTAAATAATAATGGTCTAAAGTTAAAACATACAACATTGGCTATGAAGAGGTACTTGCTAAAACCTTATATAAAATCATAAATTAACTGGTATAACTTGTAATTAAAAATATATTTGATTCATGGGGCACCTGGGTGGCTCAGTTGATCAAGCGTCCAACTCTTTTTTTTTTTTTTTTAGATTTTTTTATTTATTTATTTGAGAGAGACACAGCGAGAGAGAGAACACAAGCAGGGGGAGTGGGAGAGGGAGAAGCAGGCTTCC